ACGAGGAACCGGAAGAAGTCGAGTTGCTTCCCTTTGATTAATGTTCCGGTGGGTTGCGATGGCGCGACGTCATATTTGACTCCCGTATAATATGTAATAAGACAAATGAGAATTTAGGTTAGTTTTTCATCTCCTTGAAAATATATCTCCCTCAGACACCAATAAACACCCATAAATCAGACTAATTCAGCCCAAATAGGTTAACTTAACTGACAGACATATACATCAAATCCTCTGCCAAAACCCAGTCTGGGTTAAGAAATGGCTTATCGTATATTATCGACACGGCCACTCTACACAGACATACACAGTTTAAATGATATATACTTAGTCGAACCTTTTGGAATGTACTGACTCGAGCTGGAGCCCTGTGACAACCTGTCACTAATCATACTTGTATAAACATCCGTACGCTTCTTTAATTTATCTTTTGAAGCAATTTATATGTTTCCCAAATATTAGGCCACCAACCATGTATATAAATTTACTTTAAATACAAATATTCTATCATGGAAGGGTTTAGTTATCAGACATCGGAGACGTATTGATGAAAGGAAGTTCATGAATGATTTAGGAGGTATAACGTAACGAGTGAGTGAGTGAGTGAGTTGTCTTTAAGGCCGGATCTGTTTTGTCGAGGGTCGGTACGTCAGTTTCATATTTGACGGATCACTTTCTTGAGTGAGAGTGTTTGGTAAACCCCGCTTTGAACAGTATATCAGGTACATACGCCAGGTCACCATGTTCAGTATTTAAATTCTGACTGACTGAGTTTGGTTTTACGCCGCTTTTAGCAATATTCCAGCAATATCACGGCGGGGGACACCAGAAATGGGCTTCATTCATTGTACCCATGTAGGGATTCGAACCCGGGTCTTCGGCGTGACGAACCATCTAAACACATTTTTCAACATGTTTAGCTCTTAACATGTCCATATGTGTTTTTGTAGCTTACAGAGAATATGTACCCTGTACCAATTGTTAAGCGTAAACTGGACGAAAATGAGGCCCGGGGCTAGCCATGTAAAATAGCTGACAGTGTCATTGTGACGTTGGGCGTTACATACGTTATAATCCACTGTTTAAGCAGGACGGGTTGTGGTACAGACCAAACTTAAAAGAAAACAGAATTAGCATTGATATGATCCCTCACCCCACCCGCACCCAAAAACTAAAAAAATAAAGTAAAATAGAAACAAAATTGCATGCTTAAAATTCCCCTTCCCTACCAAATGATGAACGGTCGCCGATGACGGTCACTTGTCAGTCTGGGTGAGGGTTTTTAAGCAAGGGTCTTTTTAAAATTGATATCTGAATTTATCTCTCTCCATCAGTTCCAGTTGTGCATTTCCAGCGGACATTTTTACACTGAGGTCTACCCCACCTCTCGTCCGCTACTCCACACCTCGTCCTCTACCCCACCTCTCGTCTGCTACCCCACCTCTCGTCTGCTACCCCACCACTCGCCTGCTACCCCAACACTCGTCTGCTACCCCACCACTCGTCTGCTACCCCACCTCTCGTCTGCTACCCCACCACTCGTCTGCTACCCCACCACCTCGTCTGCTACCCCCACCACTCGTCTGCTACCCCACCTCTCGTCTGCTACCCCACCACTCGTCTGCTACCCCACCACTCGTCTGCTACCCCACCACTCGTCTGCTACCCCACCACTCGTCTGCTACCCCACCTCTCGTCTGCTACCCCACCACTCGTCTGCTACCCCACCACTCATCTGCTACCCCACCACTCGTCTGCTACCCCACCACTCGTCTGCTACCCCACCTCTCGTCTGCTATCCCACCTCTCGTCTGCTACCAATAATTCTTGTGACTTAAGTTCAATATGTCGGCCATAGAACTGTCTCTCGACTTGACTTTCCTCCTTCAGTTAGGACAGGACTTCAATTGTTACTTCATTGATTCTGTGTCGTCTGGCTGGTCTCGCTCACGTCGATGGTGTATTACATCCCTGTACAGCCCAACAACCGTCGCACTTCATGTCGCGAAAACTGTATCCTTGTTGAACAAATTTGAAAAGACCAAATAGTAAGGACTTCGACAAGTCTATGTGAATTTAAATGGTACAGTCTGAGGTTGTGTCGTTGATGATGTTGGTGAGATGAGGAGAGATGGGTTTATCGTCGCGCTCAAAATTATTGTGTGTTCATGTGTGTGTTCGTGTTTGAGTGTGTTCACGTGTCCGTGTGTGCGTACGTGTGTGTTCGTGTGTGTGAGAGAATGTGTGTTCGTGTGTTCACGTGTGTGTGTTCGTTTCCGTGTGTGCGTGCTTCCGTGCGTGTGAGAGAGTGTTCATGTGTGTGTATGCGTGCGTGTGTGTTTATGAGAGAGAAAATGTGTGTACATGTTTGTGTTCGTGTATGTGTGTGAGAGTGTGTGCGTGGATCCGGGTGTTCGTGTGTGTATGTGTTCACGTGTGTGTGTGTGCGCGTACGTGTGCGCGCGCGTGTGTGAGCTTGTGCAAATTAAGGTTTTATAGTATTATCATACTGAGATACCATTCACAGCTTGGTAGAGCTACACAGAACCCTCACTCTGATTCAGTTAATTCTTTCTTTACCTCCGTAATACCGAACGCCAGACAAGGTAACAAGTGCCATCTTTTCTTATGACATTAGCGGGACTCGAACCACTCACTCACCTTCAGCTCTAGAACGAAGTGAATGTGTGAATGTGTGTTTACTCCGCACGTAGCAATATACCAGCCATATACACATGGAGGGACACACACAATGTACTCCGACATGCCAACGCACTAACCACTGCATGGATTAAATAAAACTTCAAAGAAATATACTTTGAAACCTGATATAAATATTTACTTGACTTTGTTTGTCATGTTTTCAATCGGACAACAAATTGTCATTATTGAGGAAGCGTGTGTGCTGTCAGAGTTCAAGGTCTCCAAATTTTGCCCAATAAATGAGAGTAATCTCCCTTCGATTAGAGCCACCGTGATAATAAACACATTCCCTTCACTCTTTCATTGTCGATGTGGTAAGCCAGGTGTGTCTTTGTGCAACAACACACAAGCTACAAACACAGACAGTTGCACTTTATATGGTACCATTTATGGTACCAGAGGTGTCATAAGTGTTAAAACATTTGCGCCAAGAGATTCCCTTTCGCTAAACTAAGCCCCGAGTATGTACTTTTTGGGGATTCTTTCACATCCATTTCGCACATCTTTTTTGTATATATTTAAAATGTATATGTTTGTCAGGCACGTGTACAAACTAGTATGCAGCTCTATGACCTTTGTTCTCCATATTAAATGCCTATGATCGTTGCCAAAAAAAGCAACAAAAACAGCCAGTGTTAAATTGTTAATACATAAATATGCATACACATGTTATGAATTATTTCATGCATGTACGCTTCTTATAAACTGAACTAAAACTAAACTATAAGGGCAAACCCATGGACGAAAGTAAATATTGCTGTAACAGTCAACGTAAGGTTCTATTCGAACTGTGATAAACAGCATGCTGAAATTTAACTGTTAGTGTAATAGCATATAACTGATGTACTTTGTACTGCTCTGATCAGTGAACATGTCGCTGTCAATGACATGATGACGTCATCATGACATCATGACTTCAGGGAATAATTGGATGAATTATAATTTGTATATCCTTATTTGCTTTTAAACATTACGAAAGCTAATACAAACGATTATTCCACACTCTGAGATTCTGGAATAAGAGACAGATTCAACATAAATAAATCTACATACAAACTGCGTCCTAATGAAGTGAAGAAGAAGAATCTTATTCGTATTCATGGCCTCGTGGCCAAAAGTGTGTGTACATAATTTCAGTGCTCATGGACATCAAAGTGATTATTTACATATAATACAAATTCCATTGGTAGATTTCGCTTCAAAAAGATTGCAAGATTTTTTAAGCATTCTTAATTTTGCGGAGACATTAACAAAGTAAACCTTTCATGTGTGGGATAGGTATAAAAATAACTTGGTAACAACAGTTTTCTGCTTTCATTATAGTATGGACAAACCAGTAAAAATTGAAATTCATCTTGGATGACATTATAATTACATTTTGCACACTTCAGTAATTCAATATTTTTACATTTTTATCACATTGATATTGCTGTACATTAAGATTATGGCTCATATACACAGAATATGTAGTAGATCTCTATTCGGGGTAAGTTTCAAAATGTACAGCTCTGGTTCAAGAACAATCTTGTAAGCACAATAATTATGTAGAAATAATGATGAGCTTAATTTACTTTGCCATATTTGATACTGAATATCTTTACGTCTCTGTCTGAAACATTGCATAAAGCAAGTTAAATCTCCACAATCTTGGGATCGATACGTATGAAAAACCAGTCTCCATTCACAAGATACGAACATGTGACACCCAACTGACACTACTATGATCGTCATAATATGACTTAAGCATTAAATAACATGTCTTTGGATAGCGGTTAATAGCATTGTCCAGTATTTAATGCATCTATAAACATAATTGATACATAGCATTCATCTTCCAACTTCACAAAGTATAGCGGTACTGGATACAAAATTACTGACACCGGGATATTTCTTAAAGGCACTATGTCACACATTTTCGACAATAGTTTGGGCCTATATTACATATATTGGGGCATATGCACTCACTTTTGCTTCCTATTGATGCAATAAAAGACTTATTATCCCTTACCACTTGCCTGAAATCGATAATTGAAACTTCGAGGCGAACAGCTTCCAAACAGACAACACTTGCCATATATGGAATGTAAACAATTGCTCCGTACATCGAAAACTGTAGCACGCGGTGTTGTCGAACTGGTTTCAATCACATGTTTGATCGTAGAATATTCGTAAAGAGCCCTGCAATGGACATGACTTTATGGGGTTCGCTTGAAATAATGTTCGGTCTGTAGAAAACGCGAGAGTCGATTTAATGCAACGTTGCATTAATTCATTAGAACTTTTTCATTTAAGATGAGTAATGTTTTGGGGAATAAATTAGATAATAGCTTCCCTGAGGGCTGATAGTTAGTATTATTGAGAGAAATGCATAATTTATTTTTAGAGAAGTGTTGTGTTATATAGTGCCTTTACATAAAGAGCTGTGTAACTTGTCAATGTCATCTCTTACAGTATATCCCCATATATCAGAACCATATAAAAGTATTGGTGTTATTTTGGCATCAAATATTTGAGTAATTATATTCAGTGGGATTAAGGGATATTTCCTAATAAGCTGATAAAAGGGAAAGCAGGCCTCTTTAGCTTGAAGGGCTAATGTTCCACACAAGTCTTGATGAGAAGATTATACCTAAATATTTATAATATGATACAAGATTAATCTTTTCCCCACCATAAGTCCATTTCTCCATTTAACATATCCTCCATTTCTAAACTCCACAATACATGATTTATCCAAGTTTACTTGTAAACCCCATTTATCACAATACGTTCTTAGCAAATCAAGTTTCTTCTGCAAATCAATAACAGTGTCATCTAATAATGTTACTTCATCAGCAAACAGAAGTAATAGGATATCATCAGTTCCATCTCTCACAAATATACCTCTTAATCCAAAGGTCTAAAATTCTTCAATTAAAAGATAGAGACGACAGCGCTAAGAATACAACCCTGGCGAACTCCGGATGAGGTTGTAAATACTTCAGTTTTAAGGTTACCGACTCTAACACAAGCAGAAACCTTTTCATACATATTGATACAGAACATCTTACCGTGAACACATTTTCTTAATAAATCTACGTTTCGACTGTAGAAGGAATATATTATCGACAGTAGAGTAAACACTGAAGAAATCTGAGAGACTTGTGTAGCAGATCATTGAGCTCAAGCCATATTCTAATCCTGTTCTAGTCTTCTAATATATATGTGAAATGTTTACCCAGTGTGTTTAATAGTGAAATTCCACGATAGTTGTTTTGATCTCGGATACCAACTTTCTTATGAAGCGGTACCCGTGAAGGTCCGGGTTACAATTTTGATCTTCAATAACCCATGCTTGTCGTAAGAGGCGACTAACGGGATCGTGTGGTCAGGCTCGCTGACTTGAGTGACACATGTCATCGATTCCCAGTTGCGCAGATAATTGCTCATGCTGTTGATCACTGGATTGTCTGGTCCAGACTCGGTTATTTACTGACCGCCGCCATATAGCTGGAATATTGCTGAGTGCGGCGTAAAACTAAACTCACTCACTCACTCTTATGAAGCGGGATTATCATCCCTATGTTCCAACTGTCTTGAAAGATGCCAGTATCTAATACAGAAGTAAACAGAAGTTCCAGATATGGGATAAGAAATGGAGCATGTTTGTAAAACTCAAGTGGGATCCCATCAATACCTGGAGATTATCCTGTTTTGGGGAGCTTAATAGATCTCTCGATTTCTCCTCTAGATATTGGTTCTGATAAATTATCAGCATTAAGACATTCCTCACACTCATTATATTCATGGTTAGATAAAACAATTTCCACTGTTTCATCAAATGAAGTCTTAATCAGCGAGGTGACAACAACCAGTAAACACATCGCATCACTGCTTCGTTAAGATCCCTTTCTTTAAATTCCCGAAGGTAGACAGGTTCAAATGCTGATTATATCATTTGTGTCGATATTTTTCTTGCTTATTGAAGTCATTCAGAAGGCTCAAATAAACTTAAGCAATTACGTGTATCGTCAAAACACAACATCGTCGTGGGACAGTGATATGATGAGTTTCCAATTGGATTAAGGGCTATCAATCAAACAAGTATTTCAGCATGCGATAGGGTTCAGTTTGTATCCTGAGGCATGTATTCGGCTGATTACATTACATAACCGTGATCGTGCGTTCCACTTCTCGGCACGTGTTCAAAGCGATGTTAAACCCAGCCCGCCCGCCCGCCCGCCCGCTCGCTCGCTCCCTTCCTCCCTCCCTCCCTCCTGAATTGCTCACTCACTCACTCACTCACTCACTTGAACGCTCACTCACTCACTCGCTCACTCGCACACTCGCACACTCGCACACTCACTCACTCACTCACTCACTCATTCGCCCGCCTCCTTGGTGTAGTGGTTAGAGCGTCCGCCCGGAGAGCGGAAGGTCGCGGGTTCGAATCCCGACCGCGTAATACCAAAAGACGTTAAGATATGGTACTTGTTGGTCCCTGCCTGGCGCTCGGCATTAATGGGTACAACAAGGACTGGTCGGCTTGGAGTCAGTATAATGTGTCTGAGTGGGGTATTCATGCTTAACTGCGGCATGGTATCTCAGTGGGCTAGCACTATAAAACCAGCTTCAGTCTGGGCTAGTACAAGCAGCTGCACCTACACATACACACGCATGCACGTCGTCATATGAGCGAAATATTCTCAAGCGCGACGTTAAACCCAATTTCACCTCACTCGCCCACTCACTCACTCACTCACCCAACCACTCATGTAGCAGCAGGAATGACAAGTTATTGTAACAGAAGTTAAGCACAGATACACCAAGTCAGGGCTCAGGGACATGACCAGTTAGAGAAGAGTGAGATATACTGAGGAGCAGCTTTCATGACCAGTTAGAGTATACGTAGCCGCGGGCATGATTAGAAAACTATTGACATGCTCGGAGAAGCTGCAGGCATAGTGTGTGAGTTAGTGAGGTTAGGTTTACGCCACTTTTAGCTAAATTCCAGCTATCACGGACACAAGAAATAGACACACATTGTACGCATGTAGGGAATCGAACCCGAGTCTTCGGCGTGACGAACAAATGTTTTATTCCCAAGGTTACCTCACCGCCCCAACAGGTATATTCAAGGAGAGTTGCAGCAGGGAGTTCAAAGACCAGCCGGCATTACCAGTTAGAGTTGCAGCAGACATGCTCAAAAACAAGTGCTCAGTGAAACAGTGAAACAACAGACATGCTCAGAAAAGCAGCGGACATGCTGTCAGGGGCGTAGCTACCATTAGTATAAAAAGCCCGGGCTTACACATGACTTTTGCTAAAAAAAAATGTTTTCTAGTTCTTGCCAAAATTACCTACAAACACATCATCAGAACAATTTAAAAAAATGGTAATACCTCTATATCTCTATGAATCATATTGACTACAATATTCTTTGATAACAAAGCATTACCAGTACAGTCACTGTACTATGTACAGTAAACATGTTATTCTTCACATCATAGATTTGAAAGATGTCTTTCTTTCAGTGATTATTATTTTTCCATCGACATTAATGTGATTGCTTTGTTACAGTGAGTATATGTGAAACATAACTGAAGTTATTTACAATCGCCCTTCAACGAAACCGTGTACGTTACTCCCTGCTGTAGTCATTGTGCAGGTCTTTAGGCACAACCTGTCGGGCTTACACGGAAACGTGTACGTTACTCCTTTGTGTAGTCATTCTGCAGGCCTTTAGGCACAGCCTATCGGGCTTACACGGAAACGTGTACGTTACTCCCTGCTGTAGTCATTGTGCAGGCCTTTAGGCACAGCCTATCGGGCTTACACGGAAACGTGTACGTTACTCCCTGCTGTAGTCATTCTGCAGGCCTTTAGGCACAACCTATCGGGCTTACACCGACACGTGTACGTTACTCCCTTCTGTAGTCATCCTGCAGGCCTTTAGGCACAACCCATCGGCCTTACAAGAAAAAACTGGCTTGCTACGCGCATGTCAGTGAAACAGCGGACATGCTCAGAAAAACAGCGAGCATGACCAAACAGAGTAACAACAAACAGATGCTCGGTGAAACAGCGGGTATGATGACCAGAGTAACAAAACATGACCTAACAAAAACATGCTCAGTGAAACAGCGGGTATGACCAGATAAAGTAACAACGAACATGCTCAGTGAAACAGCGGGTATGACCAGATAAAGTAACAACGAACATGCTCAGTGAAACAGCGGGTATGACCAGATAAAGTAACAACGAACATGCTCAGTGAAACAGCGGGTATGACCAGATAAAGTAACAACGAACATGCTAACAACGAACACTAAGTGAGAGCAGTGAAACAGCGGGTATGACCAGATAAAGTAACAACGAACATGCTCAGTGAAACAGCGGGTATGACCAGATAAAGTAACAACGAACATGCTCAGTGAAACAGCGGGTATGACCAGATAAAGTAACAACAAACATGCTCAGTAAACAGCGGGTATGACCAGATAAAGTAACAACGAACATGCTCAGTGAAACAGCGGGTATGACCAGATAAAGTAACAACGAACATGCTCAGTGAACAGCGGGTATGACCAGATAAAGTAACAACGAACATGCTCAGTGAAACAGCGGGTATGACCAGATAAAGTAACAACGAACATGCTCGGTGAACAGCGGGTATGACCAGATAAAGTAACAACGAACATGCTCAGTGAAACAGCGGGTATGACCAGATAAAGTAACAACGAACATGGTACATGCTAAAGTGAAACAGCGGGTATGACCAGATAAAGTAACAACGAACATGCTCAGTGAAACAGCGGGTATGACCAGATAAAGTAACAACAAACATGCTCGGTGAACAGCGGGTATGACCAAATAAAGTAATTATATAACAACGAACATGCTCAGTGAAACAGCGGGTATGACCAGATAAAGTAACAACAAACATGCTCAGTGAAACAGCGGGTATGACCAGATAAAGTAACAACAGACATGCTCGGTGAACTGCGAGTTTGACCAGATAAAGTAACAACGAACATGCTAAGTGAAACAGCGGGTATGACCAGATAAGGTAACAACGAACATGCTCAGTGAAACAGCGGGTATGACCAGATATAGTAACAACGAACATGCTCAGTGAAACAGCGGATATGACCAGATAATGTAACAACGAACATGCTCAGTGAAACAGCGGGTATGACCAGATAAAGTAACAACGAACATGCTAAGTGAAACAGCGGGTATGACCAGATAAAGTAACAACGAACATGCTTAGAAAACCCCCCAATTATTTATTGCCGGAGATACATTCGAGTGTGACTCTCAGCATGGTAACTCGAACAGCGGACGAAATCAGCTATTTGACGTGACAAACAAGTGACGTCACATTAGAGATTATGGCGTCACGATGTCATACAGGTTGACCAACCGACATATCT